CTTTGTTTATTGCTTAATAAAATTACCAAAATGCCCCTATGATTGGGATTGGACTTTTTAAGCACAACTTTAATATTCGACTTATGATATGTACCAATAATGTTATAAATTAGGGAATTGGTTAAATTATACCTTTGGTATTTGGCTTCTTAAGAATACCGAAATGCCCTAGACTTGGAAAATTGGTATTCTAAACATTATTACGAGTATTAATTATGTTGAACTTTAAAGTTATGGAATGACCGTTATTTATATGTGTGTGATGTTGTCACCATTTTTTACTTGCAAATCTTAAACGAGACATTTTGGCAACAAAACATTATTTACCTTGTAAACTACTTAGTTTAGTTATTTTGGTAAAATATTATTATTCAAGAAAATGTGAAGTGTGGTGCACATTTTTATAAAATGTACGAGCAACAATTAGTATATAACAACGTCACATTATTAATAATATTTCAAGAAAATATTTGAGTGAAACATGAGATATGATGGTATCGGGGGTTGATCAACAGAAAAATGTTAAGAAAAGTCGTATTAAGATTGTTAAGGAATAGTAATCAATTTAATTACGATTATTTAAGATGTTTAGGAATGGTATAAATTATCATGTAGGTTGCTGTTTTTGAGAGAACGGCCTATCGAATGTTAACGATTCAAGATGAGTACATTATGCGATTTTTATGGGATATATACATGATTATTACAAAGTATTTTATCCATGATATTTGCATGATGTGGTTAGATGCATATGATGATAATTTGATTGTACTGAAATACATGATATTTAAGTATATGCATGATATGAAAGGTGATGTTGATGAGAAAGATTATGATGACTTGATATTATCAATATGATGTTCAAGTATGTGTATAATGTGAAAAATGACGACGATGCATATGTGATTTATGTTGTCACTTGCATGAGATGTATGTTGCATGTCACGATGAAATTTGAATTAATGTGTGAGTATTGCAAATAAATGATATGCAACTAGTATGATTCGGCAAGATTCGTCCACCGTACGGGGTGGGTTGGACATGAAAGGAGGGCTTGTAATTCCGAGTTCTTGGAGTCCTCGTTCATAGAATACGCCACATACGTAAAGAAAAGTGACGAGCTGAGGCCTCACTTGCAAGATAATAACTAAAATACACTAAAACATGGTTTATGTGTGCATGTGATCATGAAACCATATTTTATTCACTAAGCTTTTAGCTATACTATACATGTATATATCTCAGGTATCAATTGTCAGTAGACGAGTTGAATGGAGAAAGACGAAACTATGTTTTGAATCATGCTTGATTAGATATATAATTAGCATTGATTACGTTAAAATATTTACGCTTCCGCAATTATGTAATGAATTATGTTTAACACATTATGTATGAATTTTTAAGTTTGTATGTTGTTCATGGCATAAGTTATTAAGAACGACGTCATGATACTCGAACAAAAAAAATTGGGGCGTGACAGACGGTCAGATTAAAAGAGGTGGCGGCGGCAGTGGATGATCATCCTTGAAGTGGCGTGAGTAAGAGGGCAGGTAGGGTTTGGTAACTTGGCTCTTATACCAAGATAAACCACAAGGGTTTCATGTATTAGTTTGATATTTAACCTAATTACAATCGGTCTATATATATATATATATATACTAATTACATAGGAGTACCCTCTACATTATACTAATTGCACTTAAGTACATTCAGTCTAATAGTTATAAATAACTCTTTATGGAGCGTTATGGCACCGAGACTTGGCTTTGAAGCCCCAATAACCTCTTGTGGCTCTACTCTAAGGATTGGTTTGCATTGGTATGTAGTTTTAACATGTCAACCAACTTATCTTTTTCATTAGCTTCCAATGATGATGAAATAATGACTGCAACTTCCCTGGATCTCATAAAAAACCATACTTCAAATGTGAGGGAAGTTGTTTTAATTCTATGTCTGGTGTAACATCTAAGGAAAGAACAAGAGTTTCCTATCCTTAATTTCTAACACTTCAAAAGCAGCAAATTCCAGTGGTGTTTCTACTTGCTCAAAATCTTCATCTACCTCACTCTTAGACTCAGTTAAACCAAGGATTTCTCCCAAACTTCTCTTGACACCCAAATTCAATCATACTTAAGGTAGAACATTCTTATCTTTCTTCAGGATACCTAAGGGAATTAAAAACATTAAAAGTCACTTGTTGGTCTTGGACTCTCATGGTCAACTCTCCCTTCTATACATCTATCAGGGTTCTTCTAGTGCCTAGAAAAGGTTTTTCCTAAGATAATGGGAATGTCTTTGTCAGCTTCAAAGTCTATGATGATAAAATCAGCTGGAAAAATAAACTTATCAACCTTAACTAGGACATCTTTAATCTTTCCTTAAACATAAGTTATGGACTTACAACTAATTGTAGAGTCACAATGGTGGCTCTAGCTTCACCTATGCCTAGAGTGTTGGAAATAGACAAAAACTAGCACCTAAGTCACATAGGGATTTTCCTATTTCTTTCCTCTTATTGAACAAGGGATTGTACAGATTCTATGATCTTTAAGCTTAGGAGGGATTTTACTGGATAACAAGGAATTACACCCTTCATTAAGAGCTACAGTTTCATACTCAGTCAGTTTTTTCTTTTTGCTCAAAGTATCTTTTTAGAAACTTTGTATTACTTGGCATTTCCTCAATAACCTCAACCAAAGGTATATCTATATGTAACTGTTTAAAAACATCAAGAAACTTTCTAAATTGTAATTGTTTTTTTTCATTACTTAACCTTAGGGGTAAGGAATATAAGGAGCTATTGTAGTAAGGAAGTAGTCTTTGGAAGAGTAGGTGATGGAATGGGTTTCAAAGCTGGTTCTACTATTGATTCTGATTCAGTCCTACAGGGTACTATATGACTGGTCTGGACTGATATTGTGGGACTGCCACCAGATTGTGACACATCCACTACAGTACTTTCTATTGGTCCCAGCCGGGTCTACAAGAGTTTTAGACAAACAGTTTGTAGAAGGGGGGGATGAATACAAACACAAAAAACTTTTGAATTTAAAAATATGTATTGATAAAGAAAGATTAATACAGATTTTTGCAGATTGTATGGGGAAATAGATAAGGTAAAGATAACCTATCTAAAACAATCTAAGATTACACACAGATATTCTTAACAAAATAGAAAAGATTTGCTGAAATATAAAGAAAGAAAGATGTTCTTCTTGGGTAAGAACTTTTAGAATACTTGAGAGAGATTCTAACTTGCTTGAAGATAAGCGTAAGTGTTCTTTTAGATGTATGCGTATATACGTGTGTTCTCTGCATGGAGAGAGCACTCATTTATTTATGCTCATTGAATTAAATGCAATTCAGAAGGGTTTGAACATGAGTCAAGCTTTTGGAGGAAAGCTTGTTCTTTGCTACAGTGAATAGTACAGTTGCCTATTCATGAGCAGACATTCTTTCGTGGAGTTGATGGGTACTAGAGTTGACTAGTCGACTCCGTATTGTACTATACTCTAGAAAGAGTATGGGTTTGTCCTCTCTGTGTGGAAGGACAAGACAAAAACAATCTTGCACAACAAGCTTCATTTGATCGCTGAATGCTGGAATAACACTGAAGGTCTCTTCAGCATTCGCTGAGGCTTGGGCATTCTTCACACATATGTTGACCAGGTTGTAATCACTAAATGTCGCTTCAGATCATGAACGCGCCAGTCACTAGTCTTCAGTTTTATTCTTCAAATTTCACTGAAGGTTCTTTGGTGTGAGTTTTGTCTTCTTGAAGTATCGCTGTCGTTGTAGGATTTACAATACATGTTTCAGTGATCACTGAATAGACTTAGTGATGATCGTTGGAACTGAAAGAACATAAACATAATACTTCGAATAGGTAAAAGAGATTATCATCAAATCAAAGAGAGAGGGGATCAAATCTTTCTTTAGGTGTCTAGACTTCCCTGGGTTTATCAGGAAATAATAATGGAAATTCTGATCTTTTTGGAATGGTTGTAATATCAATGGGCTTCACTATGGGTTTAGTCCCACTAGTATTACATGAATGGTTCATAGGGATGGTAGTAACATGAGATGGTACTGAGGTAACAGAATATCATACCATAGTTTTCTTTTCAGACTCTTTTTTGCTTGGTTCTTTTTGTTCCTTTTAGGTATTTTCTATTAAAGTCTTTCCAGTCCTCAAGATAACAACCTTAACGTGCTATTTTCCTTCTATCTAAGGTGTCTTTGTATCACTAGGTAGAGAACCTACTGGTCTTTTCCCCATTTCCAAAGCTATTTGTCCCATTTGAGTTTCAAGATTTTTAATTTCTTAGTTTGGGCCATAAATTCCTTCATTATTGCTTCCAATGAAGTAGATGATTCAACATGTTGTTTGGGTTTGTTTTGGAAAGAAGGCTGATGTTGAGTTTGAAATTTGCCCGTTGGTTATTATGAATTGATTGGTGTGATTATGAGTGAAAATTAGATTGACCTTATTGTTGTAAATTGGATTGTCATTGTGGTTGAAAATTGGACTGTTCGTGTGGTTTTGGCATGAAAATTATTGGTGATTGTGCCATCCGAGATTGTACGTCTGCAAAAATGGTCCAGCTTTGTGAACAAAATTTACTTGTTCAGGATTTCCAAGACAATGCTCAAAAGAGTGCCCCTCACAACCATACATACATTGCATAGATTGAATATTGGAGTTAAAGGTGTTGGCATCAGATTGCACATGTGGGCTCAATGTCAGATTTGAAATCATCTTAGTGATATGAGATGTTATTGCTGAAACAACATCTACCTCATGTATCTCAACTGTTTTCTTCAGTGGTGGTGCAGGTGGATCAGACCATTGTCCATTATTATTACAAATCTTTTCAAGTATGTCAAAATCTTCATTATAGGTGCAAGTTGTGAAAGCTCCACCTGCAGCAGCATCGCGCATTTGTCTAGCAACGATATTTAAACCATTGTAAAACGTCTCTAGTTGTATACATTATAGAATGCCATGGTGAGGACATTTTCTCAGCAACTATTTATACCTATCTCATGCATCAAGAACTGCTTCATCATCTAGTTGTTTGAAATTACAGATTTTATTTCTAGACTTAGCATTCCTCATGGGTGGAAAATATTTTTTCAAAAAAAAATTCTTTCATTTCATTCCATGTTGTCAAAGAGTCTGGTTGCAAAGAGTTGTACCATGCTCTTGCTCGATCCCTTAGTGAAAATGGGAAAAAAAATTAGTCTCAGAGCATCGGCTGAAACATCAGGAATGAGAAAAGAATCTTTGATTTGCATGTAAGATCGCAGATGAGAATGAGGATATTCATATGGAAGACCAGTGTACTGGTCGTTGGTTTGTAACATCTCAAACAACAATGGTTTAAGTAAAAAATGGGTGGCACCAATAGTAGGTTTATGTATTCCTCTGTGCAACTGAGTTGAATTAAGAATAGCATAAGACATAATGCCACCGTTTTTAGTGTTTGCAAGACGAAAAATGTTTTGTGCCTCATCCTCGGGTGGATTATTCTATATATTTCTAATAAGTTCCTCTCCATCCGAAATCATCCATTCAACCATTATTTCAGAGGTTAAAGCAAGCAAAGCTCTTTGCCCTTTTCTTCGTTGTCTGAAAGTTTGTTCAATATTCGGAGCAAGTTGGAAAAATTCACCGTGTAGTTGTCTTGGCATGCACAGTGCTTTCAAAAAGGTGATAGAAAAATTAGCTTTTACAAACTTTACTTTAAAAGAAAAACTTTAGGCGTTCCTTCCCCGGCAATCGCCAAAAACTTGTTGTTTGGTTTATGCAACATCAGATTTCAACACAAAGTAAAACTCAGTGCAAGTATAAATCTTGAACTACTATCGTCTTGTAAAAAATAATAATATATTAAGTACCAGATATCGTTCTCACAGAGAAGCCTTGTAAAGTTCTTCAAAAGTACGATCTTTAAAAACTAAATTCAGAAGGTGAATTCGAGGGGTTTGTTTTATCTAAAATTTGGGTGGTTTGACTATCAACTAAGAAAAAATCAATCGTAGAAAGAAGCACAATGTGCAAAGGTTGATTAACACAAAAAACAAATGTAACACCCCCAAACACCACATTTACATATAACACATATTTCATTACATAGAAATATAGTTTACAACACAAGGTCCCACTAGTACAAGGATTCTTATATGTACAAAATCTACATATGAAAAATTCCAAAACAAATCATGTACTAACACATGTGTCTTCAAAATAAGCATCAAAAGCAAATCTTCAAAAGCAGATAACAGGTTAGAAAAATAATCACATTTTCCCTTTCCCCTTATTATCCCTGGACCCCGCCATTCCTGCATCGTATATTTTAAAGACAGAAAATGAAGGTTAGACCAGAAGGGTCTAGTGAGAAAATCCCTTATTTGCAAATGCAGGATGATGAACACCAAAATATGATAAAGTAACTTTGCTCAGAAATATTTTTACAATACAAACAAACGATGCAGTTCACAATAACATGTAAAATAAGATATACCCAAGAACCTCAGTTTTATAAAATACTTCTGCTTAAAAATCCAACGTTCCCAATATGAAACAAATAATGTAACCAAAACTTCTTGAATCATCAGACCATTCCTTTGTAAATATTAATAGAAAAGATTTAAGGCAATGTTTGCCTGTTATGACAAACCATTTTCCCTTTCTCAATAACATCTAAATTATTATTTATAATAGGAATAATATCTTTAATTCATCAGGTCATAAATAAATGATGACTCAAAGTTATTAAATCCAATTAGTAACAATAATTAGAGTTATATATTATCTACATATGACAATGTTTCCCTTATTCCAAGTACACCTCTCCTTGATATGCCACACTTATTCATCCATCAAAACAGGGCTACTTATCATAACAGACATAAATCACTTCGTCTGAAAGTACCCATTCTCAGTTCCAAGCCAGAACAGACAAAAGTTACCACGTCTGGGGGAACTACCATTTAAAACAAGTTTCATACCAAAACAGACTTACGTCACCACGCTTGGTAGAAACAGTTCACAAAATACAATTCCATACCAAAACAGACTTACGTCACCACGCTTGGTAGAAACATTTCCCAAAAATCTCATTCCAAACCAAAACAGACTTACGTCACCACGCTTGGTAAGAACATTTCCCAAAAATCTCGTTCCAAACCAAAAMAGACTTACGTCACCATGCTTGGTAGGAACATATCTTTTATTTAAAAAGATATAAAATACCCCTTTTTATAAATCCATAATCAAACCCAAGAATGGACATTTTAAACTATATAAATGTTTAGAATATTAAACACTTAAAACTTATCAAATATAAGTTATCTGGACAAGTTATCCGGATATACAATCCAGACAACATTTGTCCCTTTTGTCCGATTTACTAATCCGGACAAGACTTAGTCAAGTTAATTCTAAATCGCATGATTCACGTCCGGTTTAAAGCAATCCGGACAACACATGATCGATTTAAAAACTAAACCGCTCAATACATGATCGGTTTATAGCTAATCTGCACGACCCTTAGGCGATTTAAGGCTATACTGCACAACACTTAATTGATTTATAAATAAATCGGATAACACCTATCCGGTTTAAGAGTAATCCGGACAAGCCTTGTCTGGTTTATACTTAATCCGGTCACCCCTTGTCCGAATAAAGACCTCAATTGGATAACTGATTTCTTCCCATTAATAAGCAACATTCAATAAAAACTAGTAACAAATTTTATACAAAAGAGGTTTAGAAATTACTAACCTTTTATGCAAATTCTCAAGTTTGAAAATAGATGAAGAATGTAAGACCAAAAGCTTCTCCAGACAATTCTTCTCTGATTCTCCCAAAAATTCTAAAATAAAGCAAGAAGCCTTTCTTCATACCAAAAATCTCATATTTATACTTTCCTTTTTAGGAAAGTCGGCTAACCCAGCCTTTGACCATATACATATATGTTAATAAAACTATCCCTTCATGCATAAAATCCATGCACACATATGCACTTGCACATTAACATCTTACACACACACACACAATATATATATATATATATATATATATATATATATATATACCCACATATTATGTATACATCCCTATGCACAAAATACATATACTTACATATTGAATTCATGTGAGCATGTATTCACATAAACAATTAATTCACATAATAAATACTTTGGGTAATAACCAGGACCCGATTATCACAACAAATGATCCAACAAAAAAATAATAAAGCACTTTTGTAACAATTCTCCTGTAGTACTACAATATTGTTGCAGTATCAACTATCAGGTCAGACGGTCTCCCAAGAGTACACATAGGCCGGCATGCTATCGATATGATATCATTTATGTTAGACGTCATGTATCCTAGCACGACACAAGTGTTATCATCCTACACCGTAGGAGTATAGTACTTGTCAGGTACTAAAATTATTTATAGTTGTCTCCTATTACATCAGGTTTTTATATTTATCTTAACTTTAGAAGTTAATGCATTTTTGTACATAAAATTAGTTGTCCGTTAATAATATGTAATCTTCAATGAAACAATAATCACCTGAAATAAATAATTAGATAAAATGCTATAAGACACCTCTGCACTTTCACATTGGTTTCGGTCTTAATTTTTCCTTACACCCTAAGCTAAGGCTTTTAGCTCATCATCAATTGGTTTCTTTTTGTGAAGAATGTGAAGAGTGAAAAGTAGATAACATATATGGAAAAATAAGTTGTAGAAAATAAATTGCAAAAAAGTAAGACTATAAATTAAAGAGCAGGAATTAAATGGATGGAATATAAATTACTGAAAAGTAAATTACAAGTAAATAAATTGCAGGAAGTAAAATACTGAGAATTAAATTGTAATAAAATTAAATTCATGTAAAGTAAATTGTAAGAAATTAAAGTACTAAAACATGACGTAAAGTGAAAAGGGGAAAAGTACTTGCAAAAAATGAAGTAAAGTGAGTGGAAACTTGCAGAACAAGTTTTGTCATAAAAGTGATGCATTATTAGTAAGCACTTAGAAAATGATTTTTTTTTCTTAACTACGGGAAACTAATCTCGAGCCACAAATGATTATGAATTTTATATATTGCAACGGGAATAGATTAGCTCCAAACGATTACCGGAAATTAAACTTGGAAAAAAATCAAGATGAAGTAGAAAAGGATTCTTCAAACAAACAAACTTTAATTAATACTTGCAAATACAGAACAAAATACGTATAAAATAAATTCGAGAGAGGGATTAGAGCGATGACCAAAAGGTCAACTATGTTTTTAAACAAAGAAAGCACACATATTATAGTAGCAATTAACTTTGGGCTCTAAGTAACAAAAGTACAAGATGACATTAGCCCTTTGATATATTTTATAAGCTTTAAATAGGCCCAAAATGGTAAAACCCAACTGTAACTGAAACTGGCCTTCGGCCTAAAAGAATTTTCATAAGCTCACTATTTAGTACTACAATATTGTTGTAGCTTTGAATCAACAACCAATTATTCCTCCAAGAAACTATAGTATTATCCAGATCTACAAGAGTTAAATTTAAGGGAAAAGTTTAAAAAAACCCAACGGATTTTAGTGTTTGGAATGATTAGGTCCTTGGACAATTTTTTGGAACAAATAAATCATTGCATATTTCAAAACATGTTAAATAACTCATTGGACTTTCTAAAACATGTTAGATACATTCTTATAACCTATACAACTGGTTAATATGGTAAAATAATGAAAAAAGTCTGAAAAAAAGCCAATGGACTTTCATATTTTGAACGATTAAGTCCTTAAACATTTTTTGAACCAAAAGAGTACTTAGATCTATAAAATAAACAAATATACCAAAAAATTACTTACATTTACGAAAAAGTACTTACATTTAAAAAAAAAAATTATTGATAAATTTTATTTTAATTAAAAATAAAATATATTCTATAGTGATTTTTCAAAT